TCATTCCTTAATTTCAATAAATACGGCTTCCAGGAATTTTTAAATTAGCATCTTTTTTGACACTTTTAGGTTATACGAAAATGTAAGTTTTGTTTCAACATTTTTTTTCTCAATATTTTTCCAATCCAACCCAACAATTATTATACATCATTGTAAAGAGAAAGCTTTGAGCTTTAATTTAGAATACTGGTTCTCATGTTATAATCAAAATACTATACATGTAAAATGCTATTTAATTAGGGGCTAACTTGACATAGGTGTCATTATGAATAATTATGTTGATGTACTTCCAAAAAGAAACGTCAAATCGCAACTTTAAAGTGATTTTTCGGTAAACACACCTTTTGAGTCATTTCCTACCGATTAAAAAAAAATCATCGATTTTTAAGAGAAACAGGTATTCTTTAATTATAATTCTGTGATTCCCCCGATTTAGAAATGCTTTAGTTTCGACCCCACCGCTATTAGGAAGCGAAAACAACATCTTAAACAATTTAACACCAAGGAGAAACTTGAGGAACTTACGAAGTGAGTCTTATATAGATAATTTATCGGTAAATACATCAAAGACGTTGTTAAAATGCAATAAAATCCGTTCGAATTCGAGCACTTCCAAGTTAAGATCACCGGGAATTGAAAAAACCCCAATAACCGTCGACGTAGCCACCCAAACGGTTCGATTTGAACCAATCAAAATCAAAGAAGATAAAATCAAAAAAGAAGAAACCCTTTATTTAGGAAACTGTATAAATATATTCGAAACGCCCAAGATCTCCCAACACACCGAATCGAATCGAAAACGATTCAACATCGAAGAATTAGATTTGAAACGATTAAATTTGAATAAATTTCGTTGTAACAAATTGAAAAATTTGAGCGAAATTTTATTCTCGCCGAATAACAGTGAGGGTGAAATATCGTTTCAGAATTTGATTGGAAAAGAGGACGTTTCGACGCCGATTATAAATAATTCCGATTTGAACGATCGGATTAGGAGGATTAAGAACTTGGATGGTTGTGTTAAAGAAAAGGTGAAGATTAAAAAGTTTGATTCGTCGTCGTTGGTTACGAAAAAAAAGTACAAAAACGTTTCGCCTAAACTGAAAAAATTGGATAACGATTCAAAGAGGATCCCGAAGAGTTTTACGCCGCCGAGGAAACTGCATTCGAAACAGAATGAGAATATTTTGAACGTTTCCAATGGAAAGTTGTTTAAGAATATTAAAAGGTTTCATACTCGATTCGTTTCGAGGTGGATTGCGAAAATCTCCGAGTTGTGTACTTGGTTAGGACTCAGTCTGAAAAAGGTTATAATTTTGTTTGAGTTACCGGAAAGTAATGTCGCTTACTCTAATATAAGAACAATAACTAGAATTAATATTCAAAAACGTTCCCAAAACATATTCTGCCAGTTCCTATATGGTTAAAAAAACAGTTTAGACATGATGGGGAAGCTGATAGAGTTCAAATTGAGTTGATGTAAAATTCTGCTCAGCTTGAAACTTGCTAAATTTCAAAAAAAAATAATTTTGCAAAGAAATAGGAACTGGTGAAAATGTTTTTTTTGCTTATTTGCTACTTTGGACAAAAAAAAATACGATTTAATTCAAATTGAGTTAATGGAAAATTCTGCTCAACTTGAGAATTGGATAAATTCAAAGAAAACTAGTTTTATAACGATATGGGATATATCAAAAGTACTTTTTGTTGTATTAGAAATGATGGGGAAGCTGATAAAGTTCAAATTAAGTCGATGAAGAATTCTGCTCAGTTTGAAACTTGCAAAATTTCAAAAAAAACTGATTTTGCAACGATATACGAACTGGTGAAAATGTTTTTTTTCTTTATTTGCTGCTTTAGACAAAGAAAAATACGATTTAATTCAAATTAAGTTAATGGAAAATTCTGCTCAAGTTGAAAATTTGATAAATTTAAAGAAAACTAGTTTTGTAACGATATGGGATATATCCAAAATATTTTTTGTTGTATTAGAAGTGATGGGGAAGCTGATAAAGTTCAAATTAAGTTGTTGAAAAATTCTGCTCAGTTTAAAACTTAAAAAATTTCAAAAAAAAACTAATTTTGCTAAGAAATAGGAGCTGGTAAAAATGTTTTTTTCCTTATTTGCTACTTTGGACAAAAAAAAATACGATTTAATTCAAATTGAGTTAATGGAAAATTCTGCTCAACTTGAGAATTGGATAAATTCAAAGAAAACTAGTTTTATAACGATATGGGATATATCAAAAGTACTTTTTGTTGTATTAGAAATGATGGGGAAGCTGATAAAGTTCAAATTGAGTTGATGTAAAATTCTGCTCAGCTTGAAACTTGCAAAATTTCAAAAAAAACTAATTTTGGAAAGAAATAGGAACTGGTGAAAATGTTTTTTTTCCTTATTTGCTGCTTTAGACAAAGAAAAATACGATTTAATTCAAATTAAGTTAATGGAAAATTCTGCTCAACTTGAAAATTGGATAAATTCAAAGAAAACTAGTTTAGTAACGATATGGGATATATCAAAAGTACTTTTAGTTGTATTAGAAATGATGGGGAAGCTGATAAAGTTCAAATTAAGTTGAAGAAAAATTCTGCTCAGTTTGAAACTTGCAAAATTTCAAAAAAAAACTAATTTTGCAAAGAAATAGGAACTGGTGAAAATGTTTTTTTCCTTATTTGCTGCTTTAGACAAAGAAAACTACGATTTAATTCAAATTAAGTTGATGGAAAATTCTGCTCAGCTTGAAAATTGGATAAATTCAAAGAAAACTAGTTTTATAACAATATGGGATATATCAAAAGTATTTTTTGTTGTATTAGAAGTGATGGGGAAGCTGATAAAGTTCAAATTAAGTTGTTGAAAAATTCTGCTCAGCTTGAAACTTGCAAAATTTCAAAAAAAATTTAATTTTGGAAAGAAATAGGAACTGGTGAAAATGTTTTTTTCCTTAATTGCTGCTTTAGACAAAGAAAAATACGATTTAATTCAAATTGAGTTAATGGAAAATTCTGCTCAGCTTGAAAATTGGATTAATTCAAAGAAAACTAGTTTTGTAACGATATGGGATATATCAAAAGTATTTTTTGTTGTATTAGAAATGATGGGGAAGCTGATAAAGTTCAAATTGAGTTGATAAAAAATTCTGCTCAGCTTGAAACTTGCAAAATTAAAAAAAAAACTAATTTTGCTAAGAAATAGGAACTGGTGAAAATGTTTTTTTTCCCTTATTTGCTGCTTTAGACAAAGAAAAATACGATACAATTCAAATTGAGTTGATGGAAAATTCTGCTCAGCTTGAAAATTGGATAAATTCAAGGAAAACTAGTTTTGTAACGATATGGGATATATCAAAAATATTTTTTGTTGTATTAGAAATGATGAGGAAGCTGATAAAGTTCAAATTGAGTTGATGTAAAATTCTGCACAGCTTGAAACTTGCAAAATTTCAAAAAAAACTAATTTTGGAAAGAAATAGGAACTGGTGAAAATGTTTTTTTTCCTTATTTGCTGCTTTAAACAAAGAAAAATGCGATTTAATTCAAATTAAGTTAATGGAAAATTCTGCTCAGGTTGAAAATTGGATTAATTCAAAAAAAACTAGTTTTGTAACGGTGCGAGATATATTAAAAGATTTTTTTGTTGTATTAGAAATGATGGGGAAGCTGATAAAGTTCAAATTGAGTTGATGTAAAATTCTGCTCAGCTTGAAACTTGCAAAATTTCAAAAAAAACTAATTTTGGAAAGAAATAGGAACTGGTGAAAATGTTTTTTTTCCTTATTTGCTACTTTAGACAAAGATAAATACGATACAGTTCANCTTATTTGCTACTTTGGACAAAAAAAAATACGATTTAATTCAAATTGAGTTAATGGAAAATTCTGCTCAACTTGAGAATTGGATAAATTCAAAGAAAACTAGTTTTATAACGATATGGGATATATCAAAAGTACTTTTTGTTGTATTAGAAATGAAGGGGAAGCTGATAAAGTTCAAATTGAGTTGATGTAAAATTCTGCACAGCTTGAAACTTGCAAAATTTCAAAAAAAAAACTAATTTTGGAAAGAAATAGGAGCTGGTGAAAATGTTTTTTTTCCTTATTTGCTACATTAGACAAAGAAAAATACGATTTAATTCAAATTAAGTTAATGGAAAATTCTGCTCAAGTTGAAAATTTGATAAATTCAAAAAAAACTAGTTTTGTAACGATATGGAATATATCAAAAGTACTTTTTGTTGTATTAGAAATGATGGGGAAGCTGATAAAGTTCAAATTGAGTTGATGTAAAATTCTGCACAGCTTGAAACTTGCAAAATTTCAAAAAAAAACTAATTTTGCAAAGAAATAGGAACTGGTGAAAAGTTTTTTTTTCCTTATTTGCTTCTTTAGACAAAGAAAAATACGATTTAATTCAAATTAAGTTAATGGAAAATTCTGCTCAAGTTAAAAATTTGATAAATTCAAAGAAAACTAGTTTTATAACGATATGGGATATATCAAAAGGACTTTTTGTTGTATTAGAAATGATGGGGAAGCTGATAAAGTTCAAATTGAGTTGATGAAAAATTCTGCTCAGCTTAAAACTTGCAAAATTTCAAAAAAAAACTAATTTTGCAAAGAAATAGGAACTGGTGAAAAGCTCTTCTTCCTTATTTGCTACTTTAGACAAAGAAAAATACGATTTAATTCAAATTGAGTTGATGGAAAATTCTGCTCAGCTTGAAAATTGGATAAATTCAAAAAAAAACTAGTTTTATAACGATATGGGATATATCAAAAATATTTTTTGTTGTATTAGAAATGATGGGGAAGCTGATAAAGTTCAAATTGAGTTGATGAAAAATTCTGCTCAGCTTGAAACTTGCAAAAGTTCAAAAAAAAACTAATTTTGCAAAGAAATAGGAACTGGTGAAAAGCTCTTCTTCCTTATTTGCTACTTTAGACAAAGAAAAATACGATGCAGATCGAATTGAGTTAATGGAAAATTCTGCTCAAGTTGAAAATTTGATAAATTCAAAGAAAACTAGTTTTGTAACGATATGGGATATGTCAAAAGTATTTTTTGTTGTATTAGAAATGATGGGGAAGCTGATAAAGTTCAAATTGAGTTGTTGAAAAATTCTGCTCAGCTTGAAACTTGCTAAATTTCAAAGAAAAGTGATTTTGGAAAGAAATAGGAACTGGTGAAAATGTTTTTTTTCCTTATTTGCTGATTTAGACAAAGAAAAATACGATTTAATTCAAATTAAGTTAATGGAAAATTCTGCTCAAGTTGAAAATTGGATAAATTCAAAAAAAAATAGTTTTATAACGATATGGGATATATCAAAAATATTTTTTGTTGTATTAGAAATGATGGGGAAGCTGATAAAGTTCAAATTGAGTTGATGTAAAATTCTGCTCAGTTTGAAACTTGCAAAATTTCAAAAAAAAATTAATTTTGCAAAGAAATAGGAACTGGTGAAAATGTTTTTTTTTCCTTATTTGCTACTTTAGACAAAGAAAAATACGATTTAATTCAAATTAAGTTAATGGAAAATTCTGCTCAAGTTGAAAATTTGATAAATTCAAAGAAAACTAGTTTTATAACGATATGGAATATATCAAAAGTACTTTTTGTTGTATTAGAAATGATGGGGAAGCTGATAAAGTTCAAATTGAGTTGTTGAAAAATTCTGCTCAACTTGAAACTTGCTAAATTTCAAAGAAAACTGATTTTAGAAAGAAATAGGAACTGGTGAAAATGTTTTTTTTTTCCTTATTTGCTGCTTTAGACAAAGAAAAATACGATTTAATTCAAATTAAGTTGATGGAAAATTCTGCTCAGCTTGAAACTTGCAAAATATCAAAAAAGAATTAATTTTGTAAAGAAATAAGAACTGGTGAAAAGTTTTTTTTTCCTTATTTACTGCTTTAGATAAAGAAAAATACGATACAGTTCAAATTGAGTTGATGGAAAATTCTGCTCAACTTGAAAATTGGATTAATTCAAGGAAAACTAGTTTTATAACAATACGGGATAAATCAAAAGTATTTTTTGTTGTATTTGATGTATTAGAAATGATGGGGAAGCTGATAGAGTTGAAATTGAGTTGATGAAAAATTCTGCTCGGCTTGAAACTTGCAAAATTTCAAGGAAAATCGATTTTGCAAAAAAACAGTATCTGGAAAAACGTTTTTTTTCCCTTACTTGCTTTTTTCGACAAAAAGAAATACGATGCAGTTCAAATTGAGCAGATGGAAAATTCTGCTTAGGTTAAAACTTGCAAAATTTCAAGGAAAAGCGATTTTGCAAAGCTACAGTATCTGGAAAAAACGTTTTCTTTCCCTTACTTGCTTTTTTCGACAAAAAGAAATACGATGCAGTTCAAACTAAGTAGATGTAAAATTCTGCTTAGGTTAAAACTTGGAAAAATTGAAACAAAATTAGTTTTGTAACGATATGGGATATGTCAAAAGTATCTTTTGGCGTATTTGATGTATTAGAAATGATTAAAAATGTGATAGCGTTCGAATTGAGTTGATAAAAAATTCTGCTCAAATTAAAACTTGCAAAAATGCAAGGAAAATCGGTTTTACAAAGAAATAGTATTTGGCAAAAACGTTTTTTTTTCCCTTACTTGCTATTTTCGACAACGAGAAATACGATGCAGTTCAAATTGAGCAGATGGAAAATTCTGCTCAGATTGAAACTTGCAAAAATTCAAATTTTGCAAAGAAACAGTATCTGGAAAAAACGTTTTTTTTTCCTTACTTGCTGTTTTAGGACAATTTTAGGAAAATAGGAAACAACAAACAGAATTTTCTTTGCATATTTGCTGCTATTAAGAAAGAGGAATGCAGTGCAACTCAAATTAACAGTGTCAGAAGTTTTGCTCAAATCAAAATTTGCAAAAATTTCAGAAAAACCTGGTCTTCAGTGATGGTGTTAGTGTTAATTCTAATTTAGCCGTCTTGAAATTCACGATTTTTAGCAAGTTTTGGGTTGAGCAGAATCTTTAATCCGTTTAATTTGAGCTGCAGCAGATTTTTTATCATGTCTAAAGCAGCAAATGTTGCCAAAAAATATTCTGCCATTTCCTATATGATTAAAAAACCAGTTTTCCATGAATTTTCTAACTATTTCTAATACATCAAACACGAAAAAAAAATGTTGGGCAGTTTCCTATTGGTTGGGAAAACCAATTTCCCTTGAAGTTTTGCAGTTATTTCTTTGGAAATCCAGATTTTCTTCAATTTTTGCTAAGTATGGGTTCAACAGAATTTCTGAACAATTTAGTTTCAACTGCATCTTATTCCAACCACCTCTAATACATAAAAAATGATAACAATACTTTTGACCAAAACAGTTTTGGTTCAATTTTTCCAAGTTTCAAGCTGATCAGAATTTTCCATCTACTCAATTTGAACAGTATCACATTCCCCATCAAATCTAATACCAATTATATTTACAATTTTAGACAAAATTTATGCTTTTAAGTCATTTTGAACAAAAAAATGTCCAAAATTGTATAAGTTTTCATAGTTTCAGTAACATTTTGATCATTCTGAACTATTTTGTACAATTTATAGATAGACTCTTGTTTCTGTTTCGCCAAATTCTTGTGTCTAAATGACTCCAACTAATTCCAAGTATGTCTAAATGTCTCCAACTACTTTAACGTGTGTCCAAAATGTCCGAAACTGATTCCAAGTATGTCTAAATGTCTCCAACTGCTCCAACGTGTGACCCCAAATGCCCCTAACTGCTTCCACGTGTCCCCAAATGTCCTCAACTGATTCCAAGTATGTCGAAATATCTCCAACTGCACCAACGTGTGTCCTCAAATGTCCCCAACTGCTTCCAGGAGTGTCCAAATGTCCCCAACTGATTTCAAGTATGGCTAAATGTCTCCAACTGTTTCAACGTATGTCCTCAAATGTCCCCAACTGCTTCCAGGAGTGTCCAAATGTTCCCAACTGATTCTAAGTATGTCTAAATGTCTCCAACTGCTTCAACGTGTGTCCCCAAATGTTTCCAACTAATTCCATCTGTTACTAAATGTGCCCCAGTGATTATAAATGTGCCTAAACATGGCCGTGCAAACGCAACAAGTTTCCGACATTACTTTCCGGTCCCCGCTAATAAATAAAATGTTAATAAATGCTAAATCAAGTTAACTTTAATTTTAATTTATAGACTTTGACATATCAAGATAAATTTAAGCCAAAATCGAACTTAAAACCGAGTTGGTTTAGCGCCGAAATAAAAAATAACGTTGTTATAACGAAGTGTATCGACTGTGAAGAGCAAAAAACGAAGCTATCGATTCTCTCTACAAAAATCGAAGTGTTAGAGCAAGAATCAGCCCGAAAAAACGCAGAGAATTCCGAAACCGTTGAAAAATTAAACGGCGAAATCGCCAAAATCAAGAGCGAGTTAACCGAAATTGAGATGATCAAGAAAAAAATCGCCGAATTAGAAGAGAATTTGGCAAAGCGCAAAGTAACCCCGGAAGTTTGTGCTTTTATCCCCCCGATTCCGCCCCCTCCGCCTTGCGCGCCGCCTCCTCCACCTCCCCCACCCATGATGAATCTTAACTTAGCTGTAGGTAATAAAAAAATTAGCGCCACGAAAAGATTGGAGAAAAAAACGAACGAAAATTCGAGACCTGTCATTTCTTTGGATGATATCTTAAAAGTGAAATTAAAAAAAACCACGGTTAGTTTAATTAATTAATTAATTATTATTTTAATAATTAATTTATGATTGTAGGAGAAACCTTTATCAGCGAGAAGACCCCATCAACCATTAATATCCGTCGAAATGTTGAACCAAATTAAATTACGCCCCACCTCAAGACCCGAAACTCCCTCAAGTACTACAAGTTTAAAAGAAAAAACTCACGCCCTTTCAATGCCTAACAGTCCCGGTACGAATTTATCGAAAATTTTGAGTGCGGTGGACACAAATGTGAGGCGAATTAAAAGGTTAAAACGTTCGAACGGTTATAGTTTAGACGACTTTTCTAGGAGGCGCGTCTTGAGACGTGAATGGAGTGGTTCGGATGATACTTAGTTGATCCGATTCTAATCTGCCTTCCCAATCATCCCATCTTTATTACGTGTACGTTACGTGTACGTATTCCCAATTAATTCTTTTTGTAGCCCCACTACGAATTGTTACCTCACCAAAAAGAAAAAATACGAGAATTACAAAAAAACCCTATTATGACGATGTTTACCGGTATTTACGATAATAACAGTCCGAATATATATTAAGTGTATTATTTTTTTTATTATTATTATATATTTATTGCAGAATGATGGTTCTTAAAAAAATAAAGATTACATTTTATCATTTTTGATTTTTTAGGTTAACTTGTCATTTTTTAACTGTCAAGTTTTTTTTAATGAAAATTTTTGGGCTTACCTTCATATCTTCTTGTTAAATTCCTAAATAATGCTTATTTACACAAGAAACCGAAGTATTTCTTTAATTATTAACGTTTTATTTACTAAAAAAAACTTTACCGTTATTTTTAACTGTCAAACTTTGATTAGTTCTTTCAATGATACCAACCTAAATATACAACAACTTAAAATCCCTTAATTAAGTAATAAAACGCAGTTTCATTTAATATTATTAGCGTTAAATAAACAAAATTAACTTAATTCAAACACTAACCTTTAAAATCGTCATCATTACGGCACGAAATAATCCAATAACTAATTCCAACTTTGAATTCTCTCCATGATCTTGTCATCAACTAAAACTAAAGAATTACGAGTAAATATAACCCCGCGGTTCTCGAAATTAATAGGAATACAATTAACATGATGTTTAGGTAGTTATTATAATAAGTTTGTTTAAAAACTAAAAGATTTTACCTAAATAAATAAGATAAGACGAAAACGCAACGTTATAAATGACAGTTACTTTAGTACTGGTTAATTCGTATAGATGGCGCTTAATAATGACGGAATTAAAATAAAATAAATCTCGGCGATTTTTGATATTACTAGGAATAGATTAATATGATGTTTAAGTACTTGTTATAATAAGTTTTTTTAAAAACTAAAAGATTTTCAACAATAAATAAGATAAAACGGAAAGTTATAAATGATACTACTGATTAAATCGTATAGATGGCGCTTAATAATGAAAGAATTAAAATAAAATAAAACCCTGCTATTCTTGAAATTACTAGGAATCGATTAAAATGATGTTTAAGTACTTGTTATAATAGGTTTGTTTGAATACTAAAAGATTTTTTACCAATAAATAAGATAAAAACGGAACGTTTTAATTGACAGTTCGTTTAGTACTGCTTAGTTCGTATAGATGGCGCTTATAATGATAAAATTAGAATAAAATCTCCTGCGATTCAAACAAATAAACAAGATTAAATTAATTCAAACACTAACCTTTAAAATCGTCATCATTACAGCACGAAATAATCCAATAACTAACTCGAACTTTGAATTCTCTCCATGAACGTGTCAACAATTAAAACTAAAGAATTACAATTAAATGTAACCTCGCGATTCTTGAAATTACTAGGAATACGTTAATACGATGTTTAAGTACTTGTTGTAATAAGTTTGTTTGAAAATTAAATGATTTTTAACCAAATAAATAAGATAAAACGAAAACGCAATGTTATAACTGACAGTTCACTTTAGTACTGTTTAACTTCGTATAGATGGCGCTTAATAATGAAGGAATTAGAATAAATTAAACCGCGAGATTCGTGAAATTGCTAGGAATAGATTAAAATGGTGTTTAAGTACTTGTTATAATAAGATTGTTTGAAAATTAAAAGATTTTTACTAATAAATAAGATGAAAACGCAACGTTATAATCGACATTTACGTTAGTGCGGCTTAATTCGTATAGATGCCGCTTAATAATGAAAGAATTAGAATAAAATTAAATCCTGCGATTCTTGTAATTAATAGGGATAGATTAAAATGGTGTTTAATTACTTGTTATAATAAGATTGTTTGAAAATTAAAAGATTTTCACCAATAAATAAGATAAAAACGGAATGTGTTAATTGACAGTTTATTTGGTACTGCTTAGTTCGTATAGATGGCGCTTATAATGATAAAATTAGAATAAAATCTCCTGCGATTCAAATAAATAAACAAGATTAAATTAATTCAAACACTAACCTTTAAAATCGTCATCATTACAGCACGAAATAATCCAATAATTAACTCGAACTTTGAATTCTCTCCATGAACGTGTCAACAATTAAAACTAAAGAATTACAACTAAATGTAACCTCGCGATTCTTGAAATTACTAGGAATACGTTAATAAGATGTTTAAGTACTTGTTGTAATAAGTTTGTTTAAAAATTAAATGATTTTTAACCAAATAAATAAGATAAAACGAAAACGCAGTTATAACTGACAGGTTACTTTAGTACTGTTTAATTCGTATAGATGGCGCTTAATACTGAAGGAATTAGAATAAAATTAAACCGCGAGATTTGTGAAATTGCTAGGAATAGATTAAAATGGTATTTAAGTACTTGTTATAATAAGATTGTTTAAAAATTAAAAGATTTTTACTAATAAATAAGATGAAAACGCAACGTTATAATCGACATTTACGTTAGTGCTGCTTAATTCGTATAGATGGCGCTTAATAATGAAAGAATTAGAATAAAATTAAATTCTGCGATTCTTGTAATTAATAGGGATAGATTAAATTGGTGTTTAATTACTTGTTATAATAAGATTGTTTGAAAATTAAAAGATTTTCACCAATAAAAATAAGTTAAAAACGGAACGTTTTAATTGACAGTTCATTTAGTACTGCTTAGTTCGTATAGATGGCGCTTATAATGATAAAATTAGAATAAAATCTCCTGCGATTCAAACAAATAACAAGATTAAATTAATTCAAACACTAACCTTTAAAATCGTCATCATTACAGCACGAAATAATCCAATAGCTAACTCGAACTTTGAATTCTCTCGATGAACGCGTCAACAATTAAAACTAAAGAATTACAATTAAATGTAACCTCGCGATTCTTGAAATTACTAGGAATACGTTAATACGATGTTTAAGTACTTGTTATAATAAGCTTGTTTGAAAATTAAATGATTTTTAACCAAATAAATAAGATAAAACGAAAACGCAATGTTATAACTGACAGTTCACTTTAGTACTGTTTAACTCGTATAGATGGCGCTTAATAATGAAGGAATTAGAATAAAATTAAACCGCTTGATTCGTGAAATTGCTAGGAATAGATTAAAATGGTGTTTAAGTACTTGTTATAATAAGATTGTTTAAAAATTAAAAGATTTTTACTAATAAATAAGATGAAAACGCAACGTTATAATCGACATTTACGTTAGTGCTGCTTAATTCGTATAGATGGCGCTTAATAATGAAAGAATTAGAATAAAATTAAATTCTGCGATTCTTGTAATTAATAGGGCTAGATTAAAATGGTGTTTAATTACTTGTTATAATAAGATTGTTTGAAAATTAAAAGATTTTCACCAATAAATAAGATAAAAAAGGAATGTGTTAATTGACAGTTCATTTAGTACTGCTTAATTCGTATAGATGGCGCTTATAATGATAAAATTAGAATAAAATATCTCCTTGCGATTCAAACAAATAAACAAGATTAAATTAATTCAAACACTAACCTTTAAAATCGTCATCATTACAGCACGAAATAATCCAATAACTAACTCGAACTTTGAATTCTCTTGATGAACGTGTCAACAATTAAAACTAAAGAATTACAATTAAATGTAACCTCGCGATTCTTGAAATTACTAGGAATACGTTAATACGTTGTTTAAGTACTTGTTGTAACAAGTTTGTTTCAAAATTAAATGATTTTTAACCAAATAAATAAGATAAAACGAAAACGCAATGTTATAACTGACAGTTCACTTTAGTACTGCTTAATTCGTATAGATGGCGCTTAATAATGAGAATTAGAATAAAATTAAACCGCGAGATTCGTGAAATTGCTAGGAATAGATTAAAATGGTGTTTAAGTATTTGTTATAATAAGATTGTTTAAAAATTAAAAGATTTTACTACTAAATAAGATGAAAACGCAACGTTATGATTGACATTTACGTTAGTGCGGCTTAATTCGTATAGATGGCGCTTAATAATGAAAGAATTAGAATAAAATTAAATCCTGCGATTCTTGTAATTAATAGGGATAGATTAAAATGGTGTTTAATTACTTGTTATAATAAGATTGTTTGAAAATTAAAAGATTTTCAAGAATAAATAAGATAAAAACGGAACGTTTTAATTGACAGTTCATTTAGTACTGCTTAGCTCGTATAGATGGCGCTTATAATGATAAAATTAGAATAAAATATCTCCCTTCGATTCAAACAAATAAACAAGATTAACTTAATTCAAACACTAACCTTTAAAATCGTCATCATTACAACACGAAATAATCCAATAACTAACTCCAACTTTGAATTCTCTCGATGAACGTGTCAACAATTAAAACTAAAGAATTACAATTAAATGTAACCTCGCGATTCTTGAAATTACTAGGAATACATTAATACGATATTTAAGTACTTGTTGTAATAAGTTTGTTTGAAAATTAAATGATTTTTAACCAAATAAATAAGATAAAACGAAAACGCAATGTTATAACTGACAGTTCACTTTAGTACTGCTTAATTCGTATAGATGGCGCTTAATAATGAAGGAATTAGAATAAAATTAAACCGCGAAATTCGTGAAATTGCTAGGAATAGATTAAAATGGTGTTTAAGTACTTGTTATAATAAGATTGTTTAAAAATTAAAAGATTTTTACTAATAAATAAGATGAACACGCGTTATGATTGACATTTACGTTAGTGCGGCTTAATTCGTATAGATGGCGCTCAATAATGAAAGAATTAGAATAAAATTAAATCCTGCGATTCTTGTAATTAATAGGAATAGATTAAAATGGTGTTTAATTACTTGTTATAATAATTATGTTTGAAAATTAAAAGATTTTCATTAATAAATAAGACGAAAACGTAATGTTATAATTGACAGTTTACTTTAATATTGTTTAAATCGTATAGATAGCGCTTAAAATTTAAATTTATTAAAATTAAATAAACTAAAATCGCTCAATAATTTTTTATTGCTACTTAAAAATATACAATCGTTCGAGCCGTTATAATTACATAATAATAAATAGTACGTTGAAGAGGGGGCAAGAAAATTAAAAGAAATGGGAAGCCAAAGAAGAAGAAAAAAAAAAAGAGCACACCTTAAAATTACAAAAAAAAAAACTTACTTTTTTCTTTAACAACAACTTGGTAACTTGATACGTATATATTTATTTTATACACATTAATATATGTAAGATTAAGATACATACAGGTAGATATTGTCCATTTTCTTCTTTCCATTTTAAAAACAAAAAAAAAAATATCACAAATCCATTTTTATAACCATCAAATTTGTTTCTTTTAAATCAATATTGATTATTTCATGTTTAAATTGTTGTTTATACATACATTTTATTATTTTTCGTTTGATTTTAATTTAATTTTCGGTCATGTACGGATAATAAATTTCATTTAAAGGAACAAACGTTTCTTTAACGGCTTGGGGATTCCCCCATCTTAGCACGTAATGCGGCCCTCCTGCTTTATCATTAGTACCGGATAATCTCGCCCCACCAAACGGTTGTTGACCAACGACGCTTCCGGTTGATTTATCATTGATGTAAAAGTTTCCTGCGGTCATTTTTAGTTCATCTAAAGCTCGTTCTAAGAATTTCCTATAAAAAAATTGTTTTGAAATAAATTTATGATTAAATTAAGGTAAAAAATTACTTGTCTTGGGAGAAAACGGCGCCGGTTAATGCAAAAGCGGTTGAAGTTCCAACCAAATCCAACGCTTTATCTAATTCGTTGTCTTTATAGACATAAACGGTTAAAACTGGGCCGAAAATTTCCTCAACCATGATTTTATCTTTAGGATCTTTTGATTGTACGATCGTGGGTTCGATGAAATATCCGGTTGAATCGTCGCATTTCCCTCCGCCGATTACTTCCAAATTAGACGATTTTTTCGCGTGATCAATATACCCCTTGATGCGATTAAAAGCTTTATCATCGATAACGGCCGAAGTGAAACTTTCGGGATCGGTGGGGTCCCCAATTTTTAATTGGGCGCGCTTTTTTAATAACCCATCCTTCACTTTTCCCCACAACGACTCTGGAACGTACATTCTCGAACACGCCGAACATTTTTGCCCGCAAAATTCGAACGAACTCCGAATCGTTCCGTTAACGACCGTTTCAACATCGGCTGATGGATGCACGAAGTGATAATTTTTCCCTCCGCATTCTCCGATTAACCGTGGAAAATTCACGTATTTGTTGATATTTTTTCCAACCTGGGTCCATAATCTCGTGAAGGTTGGGACACTTCCGGTGAAGTTAATGCCGGCTAAATACTTAGAGGCGGTTATTGTGTCTCCGAAAACCGGGCCATCGGCGGGGATGAAATTAACGACGCCCGGGGGGACCCCCGCTTCGCGGCAGATCTTAAAAATTAACCAATTTGAAAGGAGCGCGGTGTCACTTGGTTTCCATAAAATTGCGTTTCCCATTAAAGCCGGGGTGTAGGCTAAATTTCCTCCAATCGCTGTAAAATTAAACGGGGAAACCGCCGCGATGAACCCATCGATTCCACGATATCTGTTATAAGAAATAATCAAATGAGATTGATAAATAATTGCGATTTCAATAAGATAGAATCCACAACAATCAAAAATGTGATGTTATGAGATCGTCTAAAAATCGACTCTGGAAGATATTATCAAAGCATGTAAAATTTATGAAATCACAAATTAAAACTCTAAACACGAATGGCGTTAATAAGATTGAAAAACAACATTGAAGAAAGACGTTTGTCAAGCATTGAAATATATTTGCAAAATTTATAAACGAAAAGGACATTTTGAACCAAAAAATCAACGATAGGATAAAATCAGATAAAGGAAAAGTAAAACAGAAACGAGTAAAAGAAGTTGAGTTTAAAATCGTGATCACAAACATTCAAAAGTTGTAAAGAAAATTTACCATGATTAATTAAATAAATGGTTAATGTTTCTAGTTATGTTGTATATTTTTATTTATAGTCATGAAAAAAAATTTCAGTTGTCAATGTCAACTTTAATTTTATTATTATATTCGTAATCTCCATAAAAAATCCTTTAAAATGAGTCCAAACTCGACATATTTAACTTTGATATTAATGGAGATACAATCACTTCCGGTTTGAAACGTCAACGTCAATTTTGACATATTCGTCATCTTCATTAAAAATCCTTTAAAATGAGTACAAACAAGACGCACTTATCTCAAAAAACAAAAAAGTTAGAATAAAAAACATTAAACCTGAAGTTATCAGCAATTTAATATTTAAATATTAATACCAACCTTAATTTAAAATTTTTTTTTTATTATATTTTAGTTTTTGTGTCAAATATTAAGAGATTTTATAAAAATTAAGAATATGTCAAAATGACATTGACATTTCAAACCGGAAGTTGCTTATATCTCGAGTAATATTGGAATTAAACGTATCATATTTGGACTCATTTTAAAGGATTTTTCACGACGATTACAAATGTGTCAAAATTGACGTTGACATTCTTAACCGGAAGTTGACCATAACTTTATTAATATTGGAGATAAATATGTCGTGTTTGTACCCATTTTAAAGGATTTTTAATCAAGATTACAAATATGTCAAAATTGACGTTGACATTCTTAACCGGAAGTTGACCATAACTTCATTAATATTGAAGATAAATATGTCGTGTTTGTACTCATTTTAAAGGATTTTTAATGAA